ACCCACGACCTCCTGTATACCGGGCGAAGTAGTCAACATCTCTGCACCGCAGCACCTCATTCACGGACGTGCGATGTTACAAACGAGCCCGCTCACTCGACAACACGATGGCTCCTAAATTTCGATTTAAAGCTTTCGTGACTGCAGGGATTCATCTTCTTGGTTCTTTCGGTAAAATCACGTAGAATGGAAATAATAAAATAATAAAATAAAACATAATAAAATAATTCTCACGACGTTTCGGCCACAACGCAAGCAGCCGTCCTCAGGTGGAGAACAGGTCTGTCAGACGCTGTCTTTCTGACAGACCTGTTCTTCACCTGAGGACGGCTGCGTGGCCGAAACGTCGTGAGAATTATTTTATTATGTTTTATTTTTATTATTTCATTATTTCCATTCTACGTGACTTTACCGAAAGAACCAAGAAGACGATGGCTCCTAATTGGCGGATGTCCTCTGATCCACGTGCTCCTCTCGTTGTTTCAACACCCGCGCCAGTACACGCACGTCCGATTCCCACGGGTTTGGCTACGTACGGTGCGAAAAAAGTCCAACGATTTCTCGCGCACTCGGCAGTCTATTGTGTACCGCCGTCATCATTTGTCCACGTTGTGAGATGCACGTCAATTGGCTTGCGGCCAAGAGGCTGCTCAGGAAACCATTTTCTCCCAAAGAAAATTTGCATTAAAAAGTAACAATGAGCAAAAGGGATATCCGTTCAGTATCCGCTCGCTGCTCGTGATTTCGACAGCACGTGTGGTGTGTTGTAACAGCATCCCGGTCGCTTAGCGAGCCAGGGCGTAGCGCACAGGCAACGGTGAGCGGCTGTTGTTAGGCGTTCAAACGCACGCGGTTACCCCGGGGTTGCTGTGTGACACGCAGGCACACTCACTCGACACACACACACACACACAGGCAGCCCACTTCATCACACGTTCCTTCATCGATTTGTATAGGACGTTGGAACAAAAGCCTGGCGTGGCACGTTGAAACACGTGGCCACGTTCGTAAAATCTGCAATTCTCTATGAATAAGTAACAGAGAGTTACGGACCGAGTGAACCATGAACCTGGGACACGGGAAGTTTTCGCGATTTCTGTCAGTGGCGGTGATTTGACTTTGAGTGTCAACAACGTCACCGTCAACATTCTGTGGAAGTGTCCTTTGTTCTCCCCCTAGCCCCCCCCTCTCCTCCTCCCATTGAATGGAATGTCCACGTGGACAAAGGCGGCTCTTGTGCGTGTTGGCTCATGCGCTTGGTGCTGGCGGAACGAGACGCGACGTGGAGTCTCGGGAGGCGCGAACAATGAGCCCCCCCCCCCCCCCCCCCCCAATTCACGGCGCGCAACGACCCCCCCCCCCCCGCCTGCCCCCCCCTTCCCCCACACTTCGTTGTCGCGACGTCAGCGGCACGTGGAGCATGCGGAGACGAGCCACGCAAGGGGCGCAAGTGGGGAGAAATAACGGAGGGCAAGGAGGGGGGCACCGGCGGGGGGAGGGGGCAGGAGTGAGGGGAGGGGATTGGAGCATTTGGATGGGGAGGAGAAGAATTTAGGGAGGAGGAATGTAAACCGAACTATTAATTTTTATATTTTATTTTACCAGGTAAGGCCCCACTTCAGCTATACCAGATAGCTCTCTTTTTTAGAAGCGGCCTGGCTCTTATAAATGGTAGCTCAACGAAGTGGGCTTGTCATCATCATCGTCGTCGTCGTGTGGAAATGTCTAGTGGGAGCCAAATACTCTAAACGCGTGATGTTGATTCGAAAAGTGGAGCGGGGGAAAAGCGGTGGATCCGGAGAAAAATCCACGCGACCACGGGGAGAACGTGCAAACTCCTCATATACAGCAGGCGTCAGGGTCGTGATCGAACCCACGACCTCCTGTATACCAAGCGAGGCAGTTAACATTTCGCCACCGTGGCTAGGAGGAAGCAGAGGGGAGGGAGGGAGATGAGATAAGAGGAGGGAGATTTGAGAAGGGAGACCGCCCGAGGGAAGAGGAAGTGGAGGAAATGAAACGGGGCATTGAGAGAGGAGAGAAAGATGTGGGGGACGTAGGGATAAAAGGAGTAGGAGGAAATGGAAGCAGATGGGGGGGGGGGGGGGGGCATAGGAGAAGGAATATAGCCAGAGGAGATGACAAGAGAGTGAGGAAGAGAGAAGCGAGTGCGGAAAAGAGAGGGTACAAGGTAGAGGAGACGGATGGTGTGAGAGCGAACGGATGTCTGCGTAGGTGTCGGTCCCAGTGTGGCGATGTCGTGTATTATTACCTTTCCTGGAAACATGCCTATTCTGGCAGTAAAGGTCTTTGTTGGGGGGAACTCTGGTTTCCTCTCTATGTTTATTTTTTATTTTGTACACATTCCACTGAAGATGATAATTGCCATAACAACTCTGTTACACACCCACGTACACCACGCGGCTCAGCCTTGGAACGAGTGGGGGCAAGCTAGACGATGTAATATTAAGCAAGAGTGCACTTTGTGATCAAAGCAGAGCGTTTGACAGGAATGCTTAGATCAATCACTACCGAACTTTCAGGGAGGGAGGGTGGGTGCCGAGATGAAATAATCCAATCATGGTAGCCAATTCTCAGCCACAGAGGAAGACTTCAGTGGCCATATCATGGAATCCGCATTTTGCCAGTATCAAAGTATAAAAAATAAGAATAGGTTTTACCCATTCTGGCAATAAAACAGGAGGTGTTAAGATGTTTAAACACCCAATAGATACTTGTTTTGCAAGGAATCAAGTCTGCATTATATACACGGACTTGTGGTGAACGTGCAAACCAACATGCCTAAGGTGTTTTGATTACACCACTCAATCAGCCAGGTTTGTATTTCAAGATGGCTGCCATTTATTCAAGAAAGCCATCAAATAATAACCAATATCAACCATATCCAACTTCATCATGTATAACATCTTCCTTACCAAAGCTAATATCATACGTGTTGATTTTATTTCAGTCGGTGATTATGCGATGTAAATCTGCTAAATCTCAGTACATACACGTCTTAAGAGTGGTGGGTGGCTGCTTTTAGAATGTACAGGCTAAAAAATGGAAGCAATAAGTATATGCCAGTATGATAACGAAACTATATTTTGTTACCAGGTAAGGCCTACTGAGCTATATAGCTTTTTTGCCGAAGCGACCTGGCCACAAATGATAGCTCAACGAAGTGGCTTATCATGTGGAAATTCATAGCAGCCAAATACTATAAACGTACGTTTCTAAATGTGGAAAGAAAACCTGGAAGACCCGTAGACAAATCCACATGACTACGGGGAGAACATGCAAACTGCAATTATACAGACGTCAGGGTCGGGATAGAACCCACGACCTCCTGTCTATATAGATTGGAGTGAGTGTGTGAGTTTCCAGCAGGGTAGGCCCACAGTAATCCACTGCATTCCTCTGCTGGGTGTAGGTTTCAAACGACGCACTCAAATGTGTAGAAATCACACACACGCGGCCCTCTCTGCATTACACAAAAACCCCACCAGCATTTCCCAAGAAGTACATTGCGGTTCGCTTTTCTGAGGTCACCATCATCATGAATATGAGCGAATGCGACCAACTGACAAGCAGCGGTGATGCAGTGATAGGCAAAAACGTGGACCGTTTGGTTATCATTATTATCAATTAGCACTCATCAGCAAAGCATAGCCACCAATGCTCACTGGTGCCAAGGTTTGCTTCTGGAAACCGCATCTACATAGTCCTCAATTTTTACACTTATGGGGCCCATATAGCCATAGCATTGAAGTGGGGACTCCGCATATACGGTTCCCAAGATCCCATGGGTAGTGTGAAAGTGGCATGTTTAGCCAATTGCAATAAACATGAGTGTTTGTCTTCTTGTAAGAGGAAACGAGAGAACCCGGGATTTAAACACAAAAAAAACCCATACAAGCTGTGCCAGAATTAATTGCTGTGCTGAAACCTTAGCCAGCCCCAAACCCAGCACACCTTCTTCAAGCACTAACCAGGCTCAACCCTGGCATTGTAATCTCCAAATCTATTATCCAGCGGGAGGGGGTTGCAGGCGGGATATATTTAGCCTCATTGGAGATGACAACTTAAAGTGCAGTCCCAGGGATACAAATCTCGCTCCCTCTCCCCCACCCCACTCCATCACATCGGATCCAGTCTGAAGGGCAGAGGAACGCTGTAGGCTTGACGGAATGTAAGATATATATCCGTGAAAGTGACCAGTCCTCCAATAAATTTTTCGGCAAAACAAAATGATTGTTTTTTTAGTTTTTGTCGACGACATAACTGATGCACGCATCTTCCTTCACAAAGTTTGTACTCATCGCATGGGTACCCACGTGCCCAAGTGTGTTCTGGACTTACAAGAGACTCGTTTACTCCCTCGAGCTTAGTGCTGGCGATCTTGTAAATGCTACAAGAGGCACAGCATTATATTCAATGTCTTCTTGTTGTGTTATACCATATTAAGGCACGCTGAACACATCCTGAGCCGCAAAAAATTGGGTGTATGGCAAATTAAACTTCCCTGTGTTAGAAGTGCATATTTGTAGGTGCGTTGGTTGCCAATTGCAGCCATTTTGAAATCCAATTGCAGCCATTTTTTAAAATCCAAGATGGTGGCAGAAACTGGCAAAAGTGACCCGAGCATAAAATTAGTAACACAATTTTGTTGCTGGGTCCAAAATGCCCCCCTCTAGTGCCTGACTAGTGCTACTAAGATGGCTTGGAGTGATGGATAAATATAATTTGCGAGCTGTATTGAAGTGGAAGGCCTCAAGAGGCTGTTGGGTCATACAAAACGAAGAACTCCTTTCGACCCTGTGCGTAGCCAACCATGCCAATCGGAGGTTGGGACCATCAAAACCGTTGGACCAAGGTTGGACCAACGACAGCCCAACGTTGGATCAACGTTGAACCAAAATTGGGCCGTCATTGGTCCAACACGCGATTTTGACCGAGCATGTGCACCCAGAAACACACGCGCATGCACGAGGCACCTGTAAGTGCACACTTGTTTATTGTGTTCAGCAGCAATGCCCAATGAGTACAACGTGATTTGTCATTTTCCGAGCGACTGCAACTACATAGCGCACACGTCTCCATGTATAATGCACTTCGACTGGTATAGGCATTTTCCAAAGCACATATGTTGACCCTATTACAGTATATATATGCGCATGGTGTGGTCAAAACGTTTTGAGAAAGGGATATGTTGAGTAAATAAATATGAGTTGAGGACATTTCTCTTTGATAATCGCCCAAATCGTGCAGGATGGCGGCAGCTCGGCTTCGTCTAGCAGCGGATAGATCGAGGACTGATGATGATTGTAGTAGTAGTAGCTACCCATTGCAATAACAATTACTCGTGAAGGAGGTTATGTGGAGATGTATTGTCTGCTCATTGCCATTTATATTCTCCATGACGCTTGAACTATAGGAGACCCATATCTTACAGAGAGGGAGCCGTCGCCTATAAATAAATGGCAATTCATCAACAGTCGGTTCAAACGGACCTGACCCTCTGAAGAGATACTGTGTGTCGAAACCGGTCAAAAAGCTTGCTTGTGTTGAACCGGTGCTGCTGAGACGGAGGGAAAGATGTGTGAATGAGAAGGCAACGTCTGCTCTTCCGTAATGGGTTGCAGCTGATCAGTTGTCAAGAACGGCGCAAGTTAAAAATGCGGGGACACAAATTGAAATCCCCACGCCAGAGTAACCCCAGTCCCAGCGCATTAACGAACGAACGATCATCATCATCATCGTAAAGAACACCATCACACCTCTGGGGTCGCTAAAAGACATACCGGATGGTATTCACGGTACGTCAACGGTGGGTAAGGATGGGCTCATCCCGCACTGGTGCAGAGAGCGTGGAATTTCCACCCCACTGCCTGAGGACGACGAACCGAGATGATCGATGATCGTTGTTTTCATGGGACACAAGAACGTTTTCATGAAAATTTTTAAAACGTCACTGCACGTAAGCACGTAAGCTTGGATCAATGCTTGGCACTTGCACCTTTTAGTAGTCGGTGAGTAGTGGATCGCCACCCTCTCCTAACATCCCCCCCCCCCCCGTCGCAGAAAAAAACCCACCGCCGGAGATTTCGACCAACTCTCATGACGCGACGTCACGATTAGCTTCAACGACGTTTATCGCCTCCTTGCCTGCCCCGTCCCATTTGTATCGTCTTGTCGCGTATGTTCTGTCCCGCTCGCGCCGTCTCTCGTCTGCGCCGTCTCTCAGCGGCGAAACTTATGACGTCACTTGGAGGGAGGGGGGGGGGGATCTCAGAGGTAGCTCTGTGATATCCACTTTTGTGCTTCGCCCTCTTAAACACAAAGGGTTTCACTCCGGTGCTTGTTCTCATGACGTGACGTCCATCGCACAATCGGCATGAAGTTGGGGGGAAATATATTTTTGCGAAAACTAAAAAAACTCGAACCTGATTGACCGACTTGATTCGAGCAGGTCAACTCCCTGCGTGTTTAGCACTCTTCAAGTCAAGGTAAACGTTCAGCAAACACGGCTCCAGTCTAGCCGCCTTCCGAAGTCGCGAGTAACCGGCTCGTGTAACTTGACTGCAAGCAGATTGTCAACAGGGTTACCGACATCGCCAAGCCGGCGTGGCTGGCAAAAAAAAGTACTCCGAGCCCACGTGTCGTCAAAATCAAAAAAGTGAAACGCCAACGTGAAAAAGTGAAAATGCGTCCAGACAGACGTGCAGGAGGTGAGGATCAGGCTGTAGGGGTTGTGGTCAGGAGTAGGGCCAGTGCAGGGGTCGGCAACCTGCGCCTGCTTCGTGACATTATTCACGTGCATTGTGGCTCTTGAAATACCGAGGTTGTATTTTTTTTTACTCCCAGAATTCGAAGAAAATGACTACTCTGTGTTATTTTAGTGACCAAAACCACCTTGGGCGAGTGTTAGGTGCTGGTATAAAGGGTAGGGCGGGCTTGTTGTGTCTGTTTGGGAAGTTTGGTTAAGGTTACGCTCGTGTTGTCGTCTGGTTGGCTGGTTGTGGTTAAGACTAGTGTTAGGCCTCATGTCTGCTTGGCTCCTGTGTACGATCCCCAACAGTTTCCCCTTACTCTCCTGTTGTTCAATAAGGCCGTTTTCACCGCTCGTTCGCTGTTGACGTTGAGCACTCACTGCATCCTACCAGAATAAAACATGAAATTGGTTCAAATATGAATTCCCTTCCGTTCTCAAAACATTTACCGTTTTGGCACGTGTGCACGCACGCACACACACACGCGCACGACTAAATTAAAATAGTATATTTAAATACCGTTAGTAGTAGTGGTGTTACAGTTGTTGTCTTTGTGAATTATTCGTTTAGGCAGAGTGTACAAAAACATCGTCGGCGTCCTCGCCGCCGTCGCGGTGTCTTGGCTAGAGTCGAGCGTGGGGGTGTGGTGGTGGTGGGGGGGTCCAGAGTAACTCCCGAAGCCTCGTGGGCCGTCATCCAGATCCGCTCTCCTCCTCTTGCTGCGAGTAGCAAATGTTTTCATTCACCCCACCTGGTGCGAAGAGAGAAGAACGAAACTCGGATTAGAAACCATTCCCGCGAGCGACGCGAATCGCGAGCTTGAACGATTTCGGTGCCAGATGGAGGGGCGGCCGCAATTGCAACCGTGGCTTTAGAAGCCGTCAACCTTTTGCCCCGTGGTAGTATCAATGAGTTCGATTGTAAAGTGTAATGTAATCGAAAGACTGTGTTGTCTCGGTGTGCTCTTGGGTTGTTGTTGTTGTTGCTGTTGTCGTTTTTCTGCCCCTGCTCCAGCTTACATTTTTTTTGTCTACGAATCTGTGAAAATGTATATACTCGTGCAATGTGTACTGACATTCTATGCGTATATTTATTATTCGTTGAATTGCTTAACTTGGCTCCATCTCACTTTCTTGTATTGTGTGCTGACGTGACTTGCAGTGGTTCTGTAATGTCATCTTTCCAAGGTCATTCTCGAACACGGGGCAAAGCAAATTTGCGCGAGTTTCAATTGGAAATTTGTTTGCCTCACCGTGTGTCGACAACGGCACAATATACATAGAATTTGGTTAAAATAGATAAAAAAAACCCCAAACAATAAAATTAATTTGGGAGCGAAAACGAGTGGCATTTAAATGAACCTGTTTTGCATCAGAAGACGGTGGAAGATGGCAATGGCTTTGGGGAGGCCTTCATCCAACAGTGGATCACGACTGATGATGACGATGTGTTGTGTAAGTGAGAAACCCCCTTATTACCTGGGGCTTGGTGTCCTCATTCTGATTGCATCTCTTCCCATCGAGCTCCTGTGTTAAATACAAAGACAAACAACCCCCCGTATAGACTTAACAGACTGTTGGGGCAAGTGCTGTTAGCGAGTAGCACCCGGTGAAGGCTGGCACGGCACACGAAGGGATGGGTGGCCAGCACCACGCCCGGCTACCTTTGTCTCCCTCGTGGCGATGTTTTACACATGGCACCAGGTACTCATTTGCGACTGAGTCGACCTAGGAGCGGCCCAGGACCGGTTCAGATAATCATCTTTGGCGATGGCCGTGAGTAGGAATCGAACTCGGGCGGCTGCCAGGTTCGTAGCGCAGCAAACACTTCCACTCCGCTCCGTTAAGTACAAAGACAAAGATCTGCCGTATAACCTGAACAGACTGTTGGGGCAAGTGCTGTTAGCGAGCACACACATACACAGACACGTCCATAAAGACAACATCATACAGAGTTATCCATTTATGGATACTCCGCTGATTCCTAACGATCCTCGGCTTATGCTGAAAGCAAATCAGACCGGTGATGTTGGACAGGGTGTTTCGAGAGCGTGCTAATAGGATGTAATAAGTGTATCGATCTGGGCGAGGGAGACAATTATAGGCTTTGCAATACAATTTTAAAACCCCTATTATTTCTCCCTATCAATTGAGTGCGGGTGGGGGGGGGTTATCTACGAAATATATCATCTTGCTTAATCCGGGAACCAAATTGAAAGGGCACTGGGGCCAGTGCGTGATTTTCGTAGTAGCAAGAGTAGCTGCATATGTAGTAGCTACATATGCAGTAGCTACTACATATGTAGTAGCTACGGGCCCCGCACTTTCAAGGGCCCCACGTTAAATGCTTTCAAGCTATCAATTCCGGTTCAGTGATTCTGCACTTGCTCTATTACTATAGTACTATACTGCCTTCAACTTTTACGAACGACTGCGTGTTTATGGTTAGCGATCTGTCGTATCATCTGGCTGCATAGCAAATAAAAAAATACAATTACTTTACTATGCAAGTAAAAATGTGTTTTTTTATATTTATGTGTTTTTAATTTATTTAGGGCCCCTTTATAACATATGCTACAGGCCCCGCACTAGCTTAATCCGGCACTGATTGGGGCCTGTGCTCATCTCTATATGCAGCCCTGTCTGAGCTGGTGGCGATCATTTATAATTACCACGGTGGGGGCAGCGGAGGGGGGGGGGGTATCAGTGAAGAATGAGAAAAACTGAAATTAAAAACTGCAAGGGGGATGGTTGTCCAGCTCAGTGGGATTTTAATGGCCGTGTCAGAACATTCAGCCAGCACCACTGTGTAAGACTATGGATTCCAAATCCAGGTTTCAAGCCACTCGCAATTAAAAACCATAACGATTAAAGAGTTTATTTTATTTTACCAGGTAAGCTGCTTTGTAGCTCATTTTCAGAAGCAACCTGGCCACAAATGACAGCTTAACCAAATGGCTTATCGTGTGGTGATTTATAGCAGCCAAATACTCTAACCGCACGTCGATTCCAAAACGTGGAGGGAAGAACTGGAGGACCCGGAGAAAAATCCACGCTACCGCGGGGAGAGAGAGACATGCAAACTCCAAATATACATGAGTCAGGATCCGGATCGAACCCACGACCTCCTGCAAACCAGACGAGGTGGTTAAACCAGGTTGTCGCTCAGTGAAGTGATGGTCTCAGTCTGATCATTGGATAAAGGTTAAGGTAAATGGGGAGCCCTGCAATTAGTACTTGCTGCCATACCTTCTGGGTTGAGGGCGTAAATGCTTTCTGGAGATCAGCAGTGGAGAAGCTCCTGCTGAAATGAAACTTCTGGTCACCCCCAAAGTTTGTGGAAGGAGTGCCACGCAACTGTGGCGGAGACTAAACTCCAGATGGGCATCAGCTGCTGACCTCAGACTCTCCAATCGAGTGGAATATGATCCACGGCAAATTAGGCACCGAGCATCACCTAAATAGACGTTTGATTTTCTTCAATAATGATCTCATGGCTCAGAAAGAGGAGGAATTCTCCACAATTCTGACTGTCGCTTAATGAGGCTGTTTGTATTTACCGGCGAAACGTCGTACTAGAATTGTAAATGTTGTGGGATTACTCTCCAACACACAACTTGTGTGCTGTACTAGTAACTAATTGGCACGTTCTGTTTACGTGACAAACCTTACTAGTTGGCTGTGTCGGGTGGTGGCGGGTTTAACAACACATTTATATCTACGCGATCTAAACCAAACCCCCTCTTATGAATAATATTGGTCGCGAAAACCTCCCACGCGTTAACTCATGGCTAAGTTTGTAAGACCTCCCTCGAGATGTATGAGAGCGCCACCTGGTGTCTGGGTTGAGAGACACCAGAGAATAAATTGTGTCGCTCGCATTTTCAGTTGCGCTTCCGCGGCCGTCTGGAACGTTCTTCCTTCTGATGTTAGGAAGCCACTGGGCTCTGCGCACATTTTAAATGGCCTCGATTGAAAACTCATTCTCTTAGAACTGCCTTTCGTGTTTAGTTTGTTGTCCTTCCCCCGCACCACGAATGAGTGCGGTTGGCTACGTGCAGCGCTAAATAAGTTCAACAAATGAACCTTATGGCGGGACCCCGTGGTCCCGAATAAACGGAAGTAAAAATCGCAATTATTTAATTAGTTTTTGGCGACTCTGTCCCACCGCGCACATAAACGCTGCGACCCACCTGGCGCGAATCATTCTGATGTCATGTCGTCCAAGCACAGCGAGGACGAATGCGCAGAAGAAACACAACTTTGAAACTTTAATTAGCGCTTCGTGTGGAGCTCGTCGAGAGGAATAGATAGCCACGTCGTTCGCCTTCAACAGACATGAAATGACGTCGCGTCGCAGTTTATGCGAGAGCCGGGCGGCTTATGGGACCCCGGGGTCCTGCCATGAGGTTAATTTGTGTACTTGCCACTACTGGTGGATGGGCCTACAGAATCACATCAATACGGTATTTGGCCTACTCTTCCAACAACGGCCAGGCGTTTTGGACGAGGTGGGAGCACGCACGATTCACCCCAGCGTACGTGACCTGCTGACTGACTAACTTGTGGTCGTGCCCATCTGTTGTACTGCGGGGTTGAACGTTTCACAATTGGTTTAACTACCGTGACCGGAGATTCCGGCGATTCCAAGTCCAGTGGCAGCATCCCCGTGGGGGGATGGGGGGGGGGGGGGCTTTCCTCTGGCTCTCTGGCTGGTGGAGGTCCTTCCTCCAGCGGGGGGTGGGGGGCATAAGCAAGAAATTGTAGGGTCTGGGCCTAGGTCATCGATGCCAAAACTACTGCGTTCACAGTGGGCACCGGAGATTGGGGAAAAGGGAGCTCACCTCATTCTCTTCTCCCTCTTCATCGTCGTCCTCGTACTGCAACAAAGAGAGACGACCGAGTTTAGCTGCGCGGGGAGTCGGCGGAGACATGGGGAGACGGGGGGGGGGGGATGGGCGAGACGCAGGGGGGAGACGGGGGATACGGGGGGGGGGAGATGGGGGATACGGGGGGGGAGGGAGATGGGGGATACGGGGGGGGAGATGGGCGAGACGCAGGGGGGAGATGGGGGATACGGGGGGGAGAGATGGGGGAGACGCAGGGGAGAGATGGGGGATACGGAGGGGGGGGAGATGGGGGATACGGGGGGAGAGATGGGCGAGACGCAGGGGGGAGATGGGGGATACGGGGGGGAGAGATGGGGGAGACGCAGGGGAGAGATGGGGGATACGGAGGGGGGGGAGATGGGGGATACGGGGGGGGGAGATGGGCGAGACGCAGGGGGGAGATGGGGGATACGGGGGGGAGAGATGGGGGAGACGCAGGGGAGAGATGGGGGATACGGAGGGGGGGGAGATGGGGGATACGGGGGGGGGAGATGGGCGAGACGCAGGGGGGAGATGGGGGATACGGGGGGGAGAGATGGGGGAGACGCAGGGGAGAGATGGGGGATACGGAGTTGGGGGAGATGGGGGATACGGGGGGGGGGGGGGGAGACGTCGCTACCATGCGGCTCGAGTGGCGACGCCAGTCTCAGATCCGGCACGTCGCAGGCCTCGGTCGGCGAGCTCGCGGAGCGAGAGGGACGGGCACGAGGAGGGAGGCCGGGGACGGGAACGTTGCGAGGGGGAGCCGAGGGAAGGGGTCGTTTGGGGACCTGGAGGATGGAGCAAGGGGGCAGCCGAGGACCTGCCGTCGATGCGGAGCAGCCGACAGAGAGAGGAGGAGAGAGGAGGGACCGGTGGAAAGGGATCTCGACGTGAGCCGCATCCTTCACTCACGTCGTCGTCGTCGTCGTCATCATCGTCGTCGTCGTCGTCGAGGGCCTCGCCCGTGAAGTAGAGCACGGCTCGCGGGACGAGGCGGTCGCGGATGAAGTGGCCGACCTCAAAGTCCGTGGCGAGCATCGCCTGGATCAAGAAGTCCTCCTTGTCGCACTCGGTGTCCGACACTGGGATAGCAAAAGAGACACGCCGGGGGGTAATGGACGGCGGCACAGAGAGCGTGGAGGTGCATCTGTACGCGACCAGAGTGATTTTTAATTCGAGCGCAGTGCAATTGTTATCCAATCCCGTTGCGATTCAAATCCGGCACCTCCGATTAGCGCGGTTGGCTACGTACGGTATGATGGGGGCAAGGAACCGCTGGACCAACGTCGCCCCAACGTTCCACATTTACAGGGCAGTTACTCTGTTACCTCATCGTGGGTGTTACCTCGTTACCTCGTGGCGGGCTGAAGAAGTGGAAGAAGGACTCTGCGCGCTCCGTCCTGGTGACGACGCGCACGCTGCCCGTGCTCTTGTGCTTCTGCCGCTTGCGCACGACCCGCTGCGTCACGTCGCGGCCCTCCAGCCACGAGATCTCGCAGCTGCGCGGGCGCCAACGGCGGCGACGGGCGACGGCCAGTGGCGAGGGGCAAAGAGGGAAGAGCGACGGTCAAGCACACGCACGGATGACCCCCCCCCGGCCGTTTTCTGACACCAGCTCCCCCTCACCGTGGCCTTAACAGACTGTCAGGGCAAGTACACTAAGCTATAGGGACTCCAACACTTAAGAACATTCGACTTGCGAACTTTCAGAGATACGAACAAACCCGGTCCGTACGTCCAGTTGCCTGTTTGGACCGAGAGTCGTAAGTTCAACCGCCGCGCAATAGATGGCGGTGGTGGCATCTACATATGCAGAACATGAAGAACCAGTGGCATCTACATCTGCAGAACGTGAAGAACCAGTGGCATGTACATCTGCAGAATGTGAAGAACCAGCGGCATCAACATCTGCAGAACGTGAAGACCCAGTGGCATCTACATCTGCAGAACGTGAAGAACCAGCGGCATGTACATCTGCAGAATGTGAAGAACCAGTGGCATCTACATCTACGGGGGATTATACAACTTTTCACCTTTGAAATCTAAGTCGTTCGTAAGTGGATGAGTCCCTGTATTTATTAAACCATTTTTTTTATTTTCCCAGGTAAGGCACGCTCAGCTAAATAGAACTCTTTTTCTTTGCACCACCTAACTCTGGCGACAGACGCGAGCATACTTATGATACATTAAAACTCACAGATCTCGTTTATATCACACGCAGATAATCAATCAATATATCTGAATACCAATTTTTATTTTTTTTACCAGGAAAGGGCCACTGAGCTTCTTTAGCTCTCTTTCTAGAAGCGACCTGGCGATCACAAATGATAGCTCGACAAAGTGGCTCATCGTCACCATCGTGTGGGAATTCATGAGCGGCAGCCAAATACTCAAAAGGCGTGACGATGATTCTAAGTGTGGAGGGAAAAACCTGCAGGACGCGGAGAAAAATCCACACGACCACGGAGAGAGAGAGACATGCAAACTTGAAATATACAGCAGCAGGCGTCAGGGTCGGTATCAAACCCACCACCTCCTGTATACCAGGCGAGGTAGTTAACATCTTGCCACCGTGCTGTTGTACGCGCCACTTAGCAGGCGGCTGCTTCGTGTGCGCATCTACTGCCGCATAAAGTGAGGAAAAACCTGTACAGTGTATGTGCGGGCAAGGCATGGCTCACAATGGCCATGTCGATGGACTGAACTGGAACCGCCACGGAGATCCTGGCTTCATATTTGAGATTTAGGGACCTGTGATTGAACTGGAATTTTCCGGTGCGGTGAATTGACGATTTCAGCCTGGTCACCAGTTTTGTTGTTGTGCTCGGTGCATAATTCAGGATATTCCAAGCTCTAAAGATGAAATATGTAGGCTGGATTGTCACGCAACAAACTCTCTTTGCCGGGCACATCGGGGCGCACCTTCTGATCACGTGGGTGAAGAGACCCATTGAAGGCAACTTCAGAGGGAATTATTATGACGTTATTATCGGTGACGTGATGTTATGTCGCGCTCTGCTCGCTGTGAGAGGTCCTAAATGGGACGGATTCATCTCCACGGCATCCCCACCGATAGCACAAATGGAATATCACTTTGATGATTATTGATTAGGTATGACTGTGACGCTGATAATTATTGATGATGATTGATAGATGATGATAATGGATGATTGATGGATGACCACCTTGGAACCGACGATCACACGATTGGAAGCTCTGCTACCCTACCCCCGTGTGTCGTCTCCTCCGGGCAATGCCCAAACCGAGCTGAGATTTTAAAAAACCGCTTGTGCGGTACATGGGGGTACACAGGAATCACCCCGTGCAGAAATATCCCCACTCCCACCGGCACGCGCGGCCATCGTGGGAGTCTGTAATTTCATTCATTCCGCTAAGAGCTCGGCAACGCTGGCACAGTCGTCGCGAAGCTTTCTGAGCAACAAGGCGGCCACGGCTGCGTCGTCCGGCGTTGTCCGTATTCTCAGCGCATTACTCGGAGTGTGCCGCAGCGCCGTGTTTTATTGACGCGCGCGTGTGCGCTCTCTCTCTCTCTCGTCCGGGGGAGGGATGATTAATTGTGTTTTTTTTCTGTGGGCGGGGAGGAGACATTCTCTCCCTTGCTCTCACTCTATTCCTCCATCCCCTACACGTTTGTCCGGTTGTCCATGTACTCTCCCACTTGTCCACTTCTTGCCCAGTTGCTTGTTGTCCTTCCCACCGCTCCCTCCTCTCCCCCACCTCCGATTAGCACAGTTGGCTACGTACGGTGCGAAAGAAGTCTAACAAACACACGTGCATAATCGACCCTCGACCTGCCTGTCATTCCAGACTGCCTGCCCAATGTGTCTGCTTGCCTATCTGTGAACTCTGCCTGTTCTGTCTGCCTAGAACCTCCTGCCTCCCGCCCCCCCCCCCTTAGCGTTCCGTCTGAGTGCCCCCCCCCCTCTCCGTCTGTGTCTGCCTCCATGCCCGTGCACGTCTCATTGCAAGGCCTCATGGGCCACTGTCGGCCTCCCTGGTGGCCTTCAGCGCGGCCCCTGTGGTGTGGCCCCCCGACAATTCACAAAGAGTGAATACCCCCCCTCCATCATCATCATCATCGTGCTGCTGTCAAACTCCCCCCCCCTCGCCCAATGGTTTAAAATGTGTGGAGGCACCTCGCACTGACGATGTCTGAAAATAAGTGACGAACGCCGCTCTCGCCTGTGCTCTGCTCCGGGGAGATTTTGTTTTTCTTCAAAATCAAGAATTGAGAAAGGCTTTGGGCGCCGTTCCTTCTGGCTTGACCTTAAAGGTTCGACAGCAGCAGACGTCCGAGACAATGCCCCACAGGGGCATCTCCGCACATTAGGGGACCTCGGTCAGAATCTCTAAGTAATTTTTATGATACACACGGGGGGTGGGCGGGGGGGCGGGGGGTGTAGTTTTAAAGGAAAATATGGGTTCTTTTGTGGAGAAAGGCAATGGTTTGACACTTACAAAAAAAGCTAAAAGTACCATCATCACCATCATCTCAGAGTGGAGTTAGTGTCGGGTGAGTGTGGAGCGAGTGTGGAGGTGAGCGTGGGGTGAGCATGGAGTGAGCATGGGATGAGCGTGGGGTGAGTGTGGAGTGAGCGTAGGGTGGGCGTGGAGCGAGCATGGGTTGAGTGTGGGGTGAGCGTAGGGTGAGCGTAGGGTGGGCGTGGGGTGAGCGTGGGGCGAGCGTGGGGTGAGTGTGGAGTGAGCGTAGGGTGGGCGTGGAGCGAGCATGGGTTGAGTGTGGGGTGAGCGTAGGGTGAGCGTGGAGTGATCGTGGGGTGAGCGTGGAGCGAGCGTGGAGGTGAGCGCTGGTCGCTGCACTCACCCTTGGCAGGCCACGATCTCGGGGCCGTCGTAGGCGAGGGGCTGCGTGTCGCCGGGCGTCGCCTGCAGTTCGTACGTCTTCCTGAGCGTCGCGTTGGAGAAGAACTCGTTACCTGAGAAGTGGAACTCGAGGGTGAACGACTGGCGTCGTGGCAGAGAGCGGGAGCGGGGCGGGAGGAGAGTGAGGTGAGAGGGGGGAGGGGAGGGAGCGATTGGGAAGGAAAAGAACGCAGATAAGAGGAATATTCCCTGGACCCGTTACGGGCAGATGCGTTCCTGAAAAAAAACGCGTTCATCATCGTCGTCGTCACATCATCATGATCCATGGGGCAGATCGCCCGTAAGTGTCCCCTGCACATGTCGTCATGTTTGTTTTACACTTTCCTCTGTCCACAGGGCCAAACATGGTCTGCGTGGATGAGAAAAAGCTTGCGTCGCCCGTTCGCCGAACTCGACTCGCGTCCACGGTTCGTGCGCAGCCACCTCTAAAGCTCGGGGATGCGTGAACGACGTGGGGCGCCAAGAGCTCGCGGTGTCGCATTGAAAACGCACGCGGTTTTATTTTTTGTCCGCCGTCAAAGGGGCAGCCATTGCGAGTGCGGACCAGAAGGCCTGCGCGTCGTGAGCGGTCAGTGCAACGGGGTTGAACGGTCATCACTCGGGAAAAAAAAGCACCACTGATGAATATCGCCCCCCACCGTGAACTGTCTCCAAAACGCCCTTGTGGTGTTCTAGGGGACCCGCGGTGCAAAGTGCAATATCCGACTACAAATCAGCTACCCACTCCCCCCCCCTCTCTCTCTCTCTCCTCCTCTCTCTCCTCTCCCATCTGAAGAAGGGCCATTGTCTGAACTGTCAGCTGATTATATATTGTCCCGTCGTAAGGCGGCGTCGTCGATACATCGCAATGGTGCACTGCTCCACCGTGCACCACGTGCACCACGTGCGCGTGTGTCGCTCACAAAACACGTGCACCACGTGCTCCACCGTGCACCACGTGCGCGCGTGTCGCTCACACACAACACGTGCACCACGTGCGCGTGTGTTGCTCACAAAACACATGCGCCACGTGCGCGTGTGTTGCTCACACACAACACGTGCACAACACGTGCACCACGCACATTGCGCGCCGCAGAAAAAATACACGCGTACAGCCTCGTTGTCGATTTACTGCCGGGACGAAGGGGCCTACAACCCCCCCACCCCCCCGTGCCGGTCGTGGCTTTCTGTTCGTCCATACTTCACCACGCCGCTCAGTGCGGGTTTGTTGAAGGACGGGTTTCTGACACCGCTCGCTACGGGCGACTCAGGCGTGGCTGGGAACTGAACTCGGGTCGCCGGGCGCACACGATTAGCGGCGTGCAATGCGCACGCTCGCAGTGCTGTGTAATCGTCGTCTCCTCAGCCACCGGCTACCTCGAACAATAACCGGGGTTAGTTGCTGTAATTGCCTGCGTTGTGAAATTCCAAACAATTACCCTCACGAATGCCAATAAGTGATTCAATCTATGAAATGAAACTTGTCAGGGACGGAGAGAGACAGAGGGAGAGAGGACGGAGAGAGAGAGGGGGGAGATGGAAGGGGAGATGGAAGGGGAGATAGAGAGGGAGCGAGAGACCTGTCGTAGGGTTAAGAGAACGAGAGAGAGAGAGAGGGGATGTGAGAGTGGGCGAGCGAGCGGAGATACCAGGAGCTTGAGAGAGAGAGAGAGGGAGCAGTGAAACAGAGTGGAAATAAATGGAGCGAGAGGGACAAGTGGAGATGAGAGAGAGAGAGAGGGAGAAGCGAGGACGAGAGGGGAGAGGAGATAGAGAGCGAACATATGGTGATGGAATGAGAGAGTTGCAGAGAGTGGGATTGAGCGAGACGGGCTATTTCTCTGTTGCTCTGCAAATCGGTTTAAGAGAGATGGTTTGTGAGATTTCAAGGAGCGGAATAAATATATAAAATGTAATGGAAAGGGCAGTGCTAGAGAGACGGATGATCGGGATAAAAATAGAGAATATAATCCCATTAAAAATCCAATTAAATACCCCGGATATGTGCAGCAAATCAGAGCTTCGCAATTGGCTCATGGGAACACTCATCCTTCGTCGTCATCATCAGTCATCAATCGCACCACCGTGAACGGCATCATCGTCATCAACGCCATCATAGTGACTACCTGTAAATGACCATCATCATCAGTAGCATCACCATTGTTATCATAATTAGTACAATCCTCACCAGTAGCATCAATATAATTATTGCCATGTTTGATTTGATCATCATCATCATAATGACCACTCTTATCATCCTCATTAGTAGCGTCACCACTGTCATCATCATAGCCATCAATCACATCACTGATATCGCACAATCCTCAATATCAGCATAATCATATTTGTCAAATCAATTGATCACGATCATCGTCGACCTCATCTTAACCTTTCTTATCATCATCACCGCCACCACCATCTCTCTCCCGCGAACCGACCATCATCATCATCAGTGTCCACGCCCCGAGCCACCGCTGCTGTCTCAAGGTTACGGTCTCGCGCTCGCCCCGTGAGTCCCGGCATCACGCCCCTCTCGCTCGCACTCCCCCGCCTGGCGTTGGCCTCCTTACGGGGGGGACGGGGGGAGGGTCGGCCGCCTTTAACCATCTCGCTACAGCGCAGTGCCCTGGAGCCCCCCCCCCCCCCCCCCCCCCAGCGGCTCTCTGCTCGCGGCGCTGCAACGACGGCGATTCAACCCCGCGAGGTCGTTGGCTCTCTACGGACGACGGACGTGAAGAAGTCAGACGACGCTCGGGGACTGCCGATCCCACCGAGTCACCGAGGGCGTGCCGTGGGAGCAAGAGGCATATCTCGCAGTGCCAAGAGAAGGCAGAGCTGCACGTGACAAACACAGGTGGGGGGGGGGGAGTGTGGGAGCTTCAAGTGTCCCGGAAAGACTGAGAATGATCCTGGGAAAATCAGGACAGTTAGCAACCCGAAGGTGTAGTGTGGCTAGCATGGGACCCCGGTGCAAGGAGTTAAATGCACCCCTACCCCGCCTTTCCCATGCACACCTCGCCCCCTCTATCTGTGTAGCCCAGTGCCTGGGCCCTAACAGTTGCACCGCCCGTACACTCGCCAGCTACGACCACCGATGGTCAGCACGGCGAGGGGTTGGCTCAATTGTTTTGATTGCATTCCCAAATTTGGGATTTGAGTTGCGTGTTAAATTCCAGAGTACACGCGTACACATGCACGCTGGAATTTGGTCATGTGGGCTACGTTGAGCATACTTCATTCAGCTGGCCAGGCACGGGGGCATAGAAGTACGGCGCAACTTTGGATGTTGCTGCCTTGCCCGCTGCTGTCTGCCACGTGACCCCCACAATTCCAGAAGGACGGACACCATATAAAAGTATAAACACTGGATTGTAATTCCAAGTGTGTCCAGAATGATAAACAAACCGTTCGGTCAACAGTGGCTTTCGCAACAAAGTTTTGACCTTAAGAAAAACATCAATCGAAGTCCCTTAAACTCTTGAGACATCACGATAATAGGCAATCATTCGTCCCTTTAGTTATTGGTGGAACAGAGAACAAACAGAAGCCCCAAAACCTCTCACATCGGACACCCTGGAACATGAACCGGACTTTTAAACGCAGGGAGTCACGGAGCGAAACGTGATCTTTTCGAATGGGACGTTTACAGTGCTATATCCATGCCGTTTTCCCGTCGCGCGAATCATGGCTCATGCCACTGGGTGATCATCATCAGCATTGGCCGCGATCTTTCCAGGGACGGCGAATTTAAATTCCAGTTTGTCATCTTCTGAATCTATCGACTTCCATCGAATGCGGTGCCAAAGAGGCAGCGGTTAGTTCCGTTATGTATAGCAGAGGGACAGCTATAATATCAATCAGCTGCATTATATTTCTAAAATAAAATTGGGCTGTGTTCATTATCGGGCTCAATCCATCAGGAATTTCTTTGGCCACCGTCCTGCCGTGTTTTGCCAGCGACGACCTTGTTTTGCGTGCGTGCGTACGTTAAGTCAGCACCCATTAACAGGCTATGAATTATTGTTATGTATGTTGAACTTATTTGTTTTTTTGCAACCGTATGTGGCCAACCGCGCAGGGCAGAACTGAGTCACGTGTCGAACCGTCACATATCCGCCCGCGCCGACCAATTAACCGCCACGCGCACTCCGTGCATTGTGTTGGTGCACGGAGCAGCTGACATTTTTTCTGCAGATATGAAAAAGTTCTCACTGGTGCGTCTCACCAGTCTCACTCGTGTCACTGGTGAGGCTCACCAGCCTCACCAGTGACACATTTCCCATCAGGCTGAGACCAGGCCCTAAAGAAGGCTGGCTCTGGTGTAGGCCCACCAGTTTCAATAATCAGAGCATGTTTGTTTGCATGTTCACAACAAGTACCGCGTGTGGTTAATGCAGACATGATTCCTTGCAAAATGTTTCTATTTAGTGTTTCAAAACCTTAACACCTCCTGTTTTATTGTCAGAAAGAGTAAAATCTATGCTTATATTTTGAAAAATTTCTGCAGGTATTCGCAAAATGTGACCTCTTTACACGGCCACGAATTATTTTTTTCTCGCGTGCGTTCTACCCCTCCAGGTGTTTGCAGCAAGTTTGTTATTTTTTTTTCTCTTTGCCCAGTAACCCACGCATGCGCTCAGTCGGCGCAACTGTCCTTTCAAGTCGATGTACATTCACATCTCTGATCTCTGCACGTATCATCACCCGCCGTAACCGCCGTGGTATTCATGACCCGCGCTATATTTCTCTAGGCCACATTTCCCATCAGCGTCATTCCACCAGCGTGGGACCTCATTCCGCACGGGTAGATTTCTGTTGAAATCTAAACTATAAACTAAACATTTATTTTATTTTACCAGCCAAGGCACACCGAGCTATGTCGATCTTTTTTAGAAACGACCTCGACCACAATTGATAGGTCAAGGAAGTGGCTTAATCACATGGAAATGGAGAGCAGCCAATCAATCAAAATGCATGTTTCTACATGTGGAGGGAAAACCCGGAGGACCCGGAGAAAAATCCATAGGACCACGGGGAGAGAGAGCGGGAGACATGCAAACTCCAAATGCACAGCAGGCGTCAGGCTCGGAATCGAACCCGTG